GGCAATCTCCTATTAAAGGAGATAGATGAGCAAATACAACAACAGGACGCTGGGGACGGCCTGTCCCAGGCATTTCCAGTTAAAATAAAATGGATTCTTGTTCTGATGAAACCATGACTGTTAATGATGATATAAAAAATGAGGAATTGGGGTTTGAGAGCTCCCCTGATGAAAAACAGGAAGTCAAGATCGCCTCTGCTCCGCCATTACAGAGCAGTGGCTACCCTCCGCCATCTTGCACTGGTTTCAAGGAAGCAGACCCCAGCCACTCCTCCGGATGCCCAAGGCCGAGGGAAGGCAGGGATTCCTGGGGACCAAGGTGGCTGTGCTCAGGTGTGGGGGTGGCACTGGGCTAGGACAGGAGGCTGGGAGGAGATGGGTGGGCTGGGGCGTGTGCAGCAGCTCCAGGGTGACAGGCGTCTCCCTGTGAGTGTGATGCACTCTAGGCCATGCTGAGGTTGTGTGGCCCGGGCCATGTGAGCTGCCACCCAGTGCCCGAGAAGAACGCAGCCATGCCGGGGCCCTAGGTGTAGCAATCTCCTGGGGCTTTTGGCAGAGGGCAATGCCACCATTGACAAACTGGTCCTGAGTGCCACCCTAGACTCCACCCTAATTCAACAAGCTAGAGACTTACATGCCCACTTCCACCTTTCTCCCCAAGCTATACATAGGCTCCTCCCTACCTTGCTGATTCAGAGCTGTAAACATTTGGTCCATGCATGGTCCTCTTATGCCCCTCTTCTACCTTTGGGGCCATTACAACCTGCTGGGACCCTCCCTAGAGGTCTTGGCCTCAACAAGATATGGCAAATAGATGTCACTCATTTTTCTCCTTTTGGCAAGCTCAAGTATATCCATCATATTATTGACACTTATTCCAATGTCCATTTTGCATTGGCCTGCTCTCGTGAGACAGTTTCTCATGCCATAAGGACTGTCAAATACACCGAGTCAGAGCAATAAGAACATCATATTATTCGCACAAAAACAGTCTAAATCAACAGAATAGAAGAGAGGACCTACTTAAGAGGTCACACAATTATGGCTGCTTAAGTTTTGACAAAGATACTAAAAATACAAACATTACTTAAAATAATATCTTCAACACATGGTGCTGTGAAAACAAAATATCTACATGTAGAAGAATGAAAATAAATCCTCATACTTCAACCTGCTCCTAGTTGACGAAGGATCTCAACAAAAGACTTGAACTCTGAAACTCTTAGAGGAAAATATAGGGAACACACTGGGATATAGAAGCATAGGTAAGGACTTTCTGAATAGAACTCCTGAGCACACAAGAATTGGACCAGCAATCGTCAAATGGGATCTCGGGGAATGAAAGCTTTTATATAGTAAAGGAAATTGCCAATCAAGGGAAGAAAGAGCCTACAGATGGTAGAAATTTGTTCCAGCTTTGTATTTGATAGAGGATTAATATCTAGGACATATAAAGAACACTAGAACCTAAATATTAAGAAAAATCCCCAATTAAAAAGAAAAAAGGTTATGGAAGTATTCAGTATAATCTGCTTCTGACTGTGGATTCGATGAAACCAGCAATTTCAAGCTCCATCACCTTGCTTTCCCCATCATGATGGCATGTACCTCAAACCGAGAACCAAAATAAACTCTTCCCTCTTGAAAACAACAAAACGGAGGGGGCGCGAACACAGAACTGAAAAACATTCTGAACAGAAAAAATGCAAATGGATAGTAAACATTGCAAAATCACTGGAAATCTGGGAAATGAAATTAAAACTACTTTGAGATTCCATTTCAATCAGCATTCCTGTCATCACGAAAACAAATGGCAACAGATGCTGTGGTGGGTATTGGAAAAGAGGAGCCCTTATCCAATGTTCATGGGAACAGAACTGGTACAACTTCTTTGGAAGTCAGAGTGGAGTTTTCTCTAAAAGCTAAAAATCGAACCACCATGATCTAGCCCTTCCAGTACTGGGCATATATCCAAAAAATGCCATATCATCTCAGAGACAAACTTGCACATCCATGTTAATTGATCTCTACTCACAAAGAAAGGAAATGGAATCTGTCAGGGTATCTGCCAATTGGTGAATAAATAATGAAATGTGGCACACATAAACAATGGCGTTTTAGTCTGCTGTAAAGAAAAATGAAATTTTCTGGGGGTAGTGGCACATGCCTTTAATCCCAGCATTTGGGAGGCAGAGGCAGGTGGACATCTGTAAGTTCAAGGCCAGCCTGGTCTACATAGTGAGTTCCTGGCCAGCTGGGGCTATAGGGAGACTGTAAAAAACAGAAAATGAAAAGTGAAATTTGCACGAAAATTTTTACTAAGTGAGGTATTCCAGTGTTGTGGAAAATCTTGTGACTGATTTTGAGTTTTGCCTTACATACCTATCATGCTGGAATGCATTGCTTCCTGTTTAGAAACTGAAACATAATGCTAACAGGGCATCTGGCCCACTAGATTGTAATAGGATACTAGTCTGCCATGCTAATAAGGGATCCCATATGCTGTGTTGTGGTTGGACTATTACCCTTATATAAGCCCATACTTTCTTGCAATAAAGCAGATATGTATCACTGAACCTGGTCTCCTGCACCTGAATGTGGCGACGCTGGCGCAGACTCCTCACCAGCCCTGGGGTCCAGACCAGACAACTGATCAAAGGAACTAAGAGAGCAGGAGAGCAGCCATAGCTGGAGGAGAGCAGCCACAGCCAGCAACCACAGAACTCTATGAAAGAAAATATATCAATTGCCAATTAACATATGTAAAGGTATTTAGCCTTATGTCTTTTAAAAAAGTAAATTAAATCTTGAGATACCACTTCTGACCCATCAAGATAGGTAAAATTAAAAGGTTGATAGGTTTTGGTAAGGATATAAATCAAGACTCAGTCCAGCCATTTTTAGACTCCAGCCCTCCTTCTCCACTGCCCCACACCCCTGGCCTGCCTGGGGTCTTGTAGTCTGTACACCTGACACAGACTGGGGAGTTTCCAGTGCTAGCATTCTTCTCTCTGTCCCACACTCCAGGCCTAGTTCTGGTCACACAGCCAGAGCCCTTGCCCAGACTGCAGCCACTCACACCACTCTGCCACTCCAGGCCTGCACAGAGTCCAACCTGGAACCCCAGGCCCAGAAGTTGCATCCATCCCTAGCTGAACTGAGACCACTTCTGACACTCCATTTGCACATCAACACAATGTGGCCTCAAGACTGAGCACCAAGCACCACTCAGCTGGGCCACCACTCAGGTGACAAGCTGGGGTAACAGCAATCAAGATCCAAACACCCACCCAACAAGGGTGAGATCAGCCACTCACATCAAGAAACACCACCACTAACATAACCCAGATGCCTCGGTCTCAGCGCAAAAACACAAACAACACGAATAGCCAAGACAACATGTCTCCTCCAGAAATCATCACCCTCATCTTAATGTTTCCTGAGAAAGACAACCTCTAGCTGAGGCACAAGACAATGGTTTCAAAATTGCAATTATAAATATGATAACAGTAAAAGACACCATCATTCAAGTGATGAACAGCCTACAGAACTGGTAAATCTTTGCCAGCTGTGCCTATGACAGGAGTTAATGTGCAGAATATATAAAAACTAAAAAAAAAATCAAACATCAAGTAATAGCCAATCCAATTGTTTTAAAGGAGGCTTCACCTGTGTCAGGCTGCACCTGAGGGCACTCAGAAAGGTGTCGGTGATCTTGGTGGTTTAACTGTCATCACCATGTTTCTGATAGCAAATATTCTTTTGCATCGTCTGCAATTCAATCCAATTTTTCAAATGGGCATGGAACTAAACAGAGTTCTCAAAAGATGAGACACAAATAGGTGAGAAACACTTTAAAAAGTTTTCAACATCCTTAGACATCAGGGAAATGAAAATTAAAACTTCTTTGGTATTTCATCTTGTCCTAATCAAAATGGTAAAAATCAAGAAAAAAAAAGACAACAAATGCTGGCATGGATGTGAGGGAAGGGGCCTGCCATCACTGCTGGTTGGAGTACAACTTGTTGCAGCACTAGGGGAAAAGATTGCCACAAGATCCAGCTATTCCGACTGTCATGGGTGGCTTCAGTTGTCAACTTGACACACACCAAAAAAAGAGAACCTCATTTGGAGAATTTCCTGTATGGGACTGGGCTGTGGTTGTGTCTGTGAGGCATTTTTCTCAATTACTGAGTGATGTGGGAGGGCCCAGTTCACTGTAGGTGATGCCACCCCTACGTAGGTGGCTCTGGGTTGTATAAGAAGGCAGACTGAGCACAGGCCTGAGGAGCAAGCCAGTAAGCAGTGTTCCTCCGTGGTCTTTGCTTCAGTTCCTGCCTTTCCTTCATTTGATGATGGGCTTTGTGAGCTATAAGACAAATAAAGCCTTTCCTCTGCACTTTTGGTCAGGGTTTTACCACAGCAATGGAGAAGTAACTTGGATACCACCTTTGGCATATAATCAAAGGACTCTATATCCTACCTCAGAGGACTCTATATACTGCTTATCCAAGTTCATTGCTGCTCTGTTCACAACAGCAAGGAAATGGAAACAGCCTGGATATCCAAATGCACAAGGAAAATGTTATACATTTACCCAATGCAATATTATTTGGCTAGTAAAAAAATGAAATTATGAAACTCACTGGTAAATGGATGGAACTGACAACAATCATTTTCAGTGAGATAAGCCAGACCCAGAAAGACAGATTACCATGTGTTTTTTCTCATATGTGAACATTATCTTAGAATCTTTAGATATGTGTGTTTCATTTGGAATATCCATAGAGGTTTAATGGACCATGGGGAAGAGGGGATATTTCAAGGGAAGGAAGATAGAATCCAGTGACGTAAAGGGAGAGAGGGGACTGAGGAAAAGGAAGGTTGTTAGAGGGGGAGAGGGTAGGGCAGGGAAAACTAGCATAAAGGCTTTTTGAAAAAGTCATGGAAACCCACTGCTGTAGAAGGTCTCTAAAATATACACATATACACATATAAAAAGTGTCTAAACAGAGTTACCCTGTGTATTAGTCATGGTTCTCCAAAGAAACAGAACCGGTAGAATGAATATATATGTATAGAGATTTATCAGCTTAGTTCACAGGATAGAGTCTGAGTAGTCCAACAATGGCTGCACCACACTGGAGAGGCTGAGAATCTGTAGCCACTCAGTCCACACGGTTAGATGTCTCAGTAGTCCCAATCTGGCACTGAAGGTCTGACTAATTCTGAAAGATCAGCTAGTCTTCAGTCCACAGCAGCAAGACAAACTCACCAGCGAGAGAGAAGGCAAGCAGCAAGAAGCCTGGCATTCTCCTCTGCCTTGGCCTTTTATACCGGCTGCCATCAGAAGGTAACACCCACATTTAGGATGTGTCTTCTGGCTTTAGATGATCCAATCAAGAAGATCTCTTTCATTTCAGTTAATCCCAGATCCAATCAAGTTGACACCCAGGATTAGCCATCACACCCTGTAACTAGACCATAACCCAACTAGACACCTCATCCTAGTAAATAAAAACCTCAGTACCAGGAATGGGTTACCTCTCCTTGAGTTGCTGGCCAGTGGGATCTGAAAGACCCCAAACATTACAGGCCATCACTCTTGGTTGTCCTCTAACACTTGATAGCAAGATGCTGTTGCTGAAGGACCACATACTTGAATCATGAAACATGGAGAAACCAAACATGTATTGACCCAGAAGCTCATCCCTATTGGCTAGCTTTCATAGTGATGGAAGGTGTTATGCACACTGCCAGGGGAGAAAAGCAATCACCAGTCCCACCCAGCTGTGAACCCTGTGAGCTACAACTACCAGCCTGGAACAGTATGCTCATTGGTGCAATAGTGGCATGAATGTTATGGGAGTAATCAACAACTTTCTGCTTGAATTAGAGGCCTGCTACATGAAACAGCACCCACCCATGCCTGGCCCAGTTACTGAGGCCAAGAACCTGTGGCTAGGTAGGTCATGGGCTCTAGGGGAGATCCTACTTGTATTATTTTGCTAAATGGACACAGTATTAAACCAAATCCTAGTGATGTATCATTATGCCCAAAGATTAGTGCATCTCTCAACCCTCATCAAAAAAACTTCTTTTAGCAGTAAATAGTGATTAACTGAAAGACCACAACCAGTCAGTGTGCAGAGGATAAGAGACTGGGGAGTGCTCAGCTCTAAATGTGACACCTATGTCACACTCATCCACCAAGGCTCACAGATCTTCAAGGAAGAGGAGATGGAAAGGTTGTGTCCTAGTTTGTTCTTCATTGCTGTGACAAAACACTCTGACCACTACCAACTTGGGGAGGAAAGGGTTTATTTAGCTTACAACTCCCAGGTTGCAGTTCATCAGGGAGCACAAGGTAGGAACTCAGGGCAGGAACCTGGAGGCAGGAGCTGGAGCACAGGCCATGGAGGAACTCTGCTTACTGGCTTGCTCCCCTGGCCCCTGCTCAGCCTGCTTCTTATGCAAA